ACGATTTCTACCGCCACCAAGGAGGTTATGTATTCACCGATGTCACTGTCTGGGTGTCTATTCCAGTTTGTTTTTATATCTAGTATCTTTGTTAAGAATTGATAATAAAATACGCGACGACTTGGTAACGAAAGTTTGGAAAAAGTTTTTTTAGATCCAGCTGTAGGGGGCGTCCCATTTTTCGTATTCCCACCATGCATTTCGGTGAAACACGGTGGAACACTTTTTTTGTGTGGAGAACTCTATCTTGTATTTCTAGTATCTTTGCTCTATATGAATCAAACCGAAATCCAAAGATATAGCGCCGCCACTCGGATGGAGGCAAATCGCTCTTATGGACGCCCTCTTGAGGCGTTCCACTATATCGCGAACTGCTCAATCTTTTGCTATTTATTATCTTTGGCAGCGCCGCCGGTGCATAGCAATAGTGAACTGAACTGAGTATTATTATTTTATTTTTTGAAAAGTTCAAAGATATGCCAACCAATGAACTTAATCACTTCTTTTCTAAGTTGCAATCCCTTCACAATACAGACAAACAAATAAGGCTCTACATAGACTAAGTCTCAATATTATAGGAAGTGGAGTTGGTGCTGTAGTGATAACAATATTTTACAAACACAATTATCATAAAGGGATGAAAGTCTGAAAAATACTGTTTTTAACATTTAACTCTTATGTTGTTGAGGACATCACCATACACTTCAGGCTGAGCCGGACACTTGGCAATAATGTTGCCAAAGTCTAAGAAAACAGAAGCAAAATCAACAACAATAACGACGACAACGATAATAACAATAACGAAAATAATAATAATCATAAATGTTTACCCCCCACCCCAATTCAAATATTATCGAAGGCGCCAAGTTAAAAATCACTGATTCCAGAGAAGGGGGCTTGAACAAAAAATGAATGTTGACCATGCTTTAACGTTTAAGAAGAGGGTCTTGCAGAAGGAACGAAACAGTGGAACAGAGTGCACATGAAGGAACATACGGCGTAAGAAACTAACAAAAAATCGGATGGTTGCTTAAATGAGAGTGACTTAAGAACAAGTAAAAGAAGTTTAAGTGTTATTCTTTCTTTAACAATGAGCCAAGATAAATCATAAAAGATCGTGCAGCAGAGTTTTGAACGTTTTGCAATTGGTAGATGAGGAATTCAGGTAACCAGTAAACAAACAGTTACAGTAATCCCTAAGTAGAAGAAATAAATGCATTACATGTTTTTTTACAAATATATAATTAAAAGTTTACAATGATGTCATTTTGAGAGTCAAATGAGCTGGTTAACTGGGGTGGATGCAGGGGCCGTTGCATCTCCCCTATAAATTGTATTTGGCCTCACGGCTTTGAGGCAGGTCAAGTAAATTAAATACATCAAAGAAAGTGTTTCTTAAACAATGTTATTAAGTATTATTTTCTATGGTATATCACACATTAATTAGGTCTCTGTGGTTGCCGAAAATCGCTGATAAAAGATCATGATAATTTATTGGCGCTTCATTTTGACTATGTAATGGTGATCATGTGATTACGGTTAATTTTACTAAATAAAAGTGTCCGCCCCAGTATGTTCTTATGTTCAAGCATGGAGGTATAACACATAATACAATAATTTATTTTATACCTCCATGGCTCAAGGCCGGCTCAAAGTTCACCCACACTGTGACTTTACATTGTTCATTGTTGAAACAATTGAAGTGTCCATAATGCAGGCCGGTCTAGAATCGTGACCAAACGCTTTGTAGCAGTACCCAAACCGAGGGTTGCCAAAGTGCGAGCCAGCGAGGCATGCAATTCATGCGAGCCATGACGGTTTTATGCAGGACGTGTACCAACAGTGCGAGTCATGCGAGGCACACAAAATTCCACGATAATAAACGCTTGTACAATTTATAAAACTACTAAAATAATGAAACTACTTTTAACATAATTGTTTTCATGTTAAAGTTTTCATGTTAAAAAGAAAATTTCCAGCTATCAAGACGTCACTTCAAATAGGACTATGAATGACAGGCTATGTAATATTCATTTTCACCCACACTCTGCCCATTCGCCACATGCATGGAGGGAGGACCCTATTTATTTTTCACAAAATAAACATAACTAGCAAAAACAATTCAAAAACATGAAACAAAACACAATTGAAAGAGTAAACGTCATAATTTAAAATGCATAAAAGACAAATAATAATTAATTATCTAACTATCAGGCTAACATCTTGTGATCCATCATGTTTTAAAAAACAATAATTACACAGATTTATTCAAATAAATGCTCCACTGTGAACAAACGCCCCCCCCCCCACAAAAAAAAGAAACCAAAGGTCATTTGGAATAAACGCCTAGACGTTAAATTTTTCTTCCAATATAAGCATGGGCGGATGAAATGGAAGCAACATCATTTTCAGCATTGAATTAATTATCAATGTTTTACCCTAGTGGAATTAAATTAATGCAGCTAATTAGGGATTTAAAAACCATGCAAAAACACTTTTTACCATTAATTATGCATAGTAGACCACATTTCCCAGTAAACGCTGGCTCCTCAAAAACCCATCTGAAGTGACAATAAACGCCCCGGGATGCTAAACTTAACTGTCTGACGGTAGTATAGAATAACCCCATATTTTTTTAATATCCTATTCATTTACTATTTATTTATTAATCTATCATTATAAGTCTAAGAACAACAACATCAGTTAGTATTACTCATAGGGTCATATGAACATCATAATTTATAATAAAATATTGTTATTGTCACTTTTACAGATTTTTTATAGTGTTTTTAAGTTGCCTTGCACTTTTGGTGCAATACTTTTTTCGTCCTGCCTCGCATGAATTGCAGTTGACGTGTTCACGAGGGTAGATGGCTTGCATGAATCGCATACTTCGTTGACTCGCAGTTTGTCAATACCCAAACCGATCACCACAGACGAAATTTTATTTTTCGAAATTTAGGCTACTCTCTCCAAAGTAAATATGAGTATACTAAATGACTCTGCGTACTACCTCGAGGCTTATGAAGAGTTTACATCACGTTATGATAAACCAATTGAAGATTTGACTGAGTTAGTGTTTGTTAAATCTGTTGTGGAAAAAATAAAGACAAAAGACACTAAAATTCGAATGTTGGGGATTGGTAGCTCTTCAGGTAAGAAACTCAAAATTGAAGTTTTTGCATCAACTACAA